CGGTTAGAAGTGACCCGCTTTTCTTGGAGAGACGCAGCTCGTGGCAGCCGCCTGTCCTGCCCCCGCTTCATCCTGGGGGGGTCGTCCCTAGGAGTGCACCCGATCCAGCTTTGCTTGACGAATTTCTGGGGGCACAGTCCCTGCGCCCCACTCCGTCACCCGTGATGTTACTTCAGCTCGTTAGTATTTACATCACTACATCGCTAGCAGGTGGACTGGGAACTGGTGCTGGATGTAGCTTCTCGGGAAGGTTATGTTTTATTTAATAGCAAATTAGAAGTTTCTTTCTGTTCGCTTATTAAATGCACCGTATATGTACAGTCACTTTATGTATGTATTTTTATGTCTTTTCGTATCAAAGCTATGCAATATTTTGTTTATCAATACTGTCCCCTCAAATCTCAGCTCATCTCTTCCTCTGAAATAAAAGGACTGAAAGTGCTTAGCGTCAAAATCTGCTCTCATGGAGGTTTTCTGGTGCGTGAAATTATCTGTTTTCTTTTCATGTTCATCAATCACTTTTCAGCCAAAGAGCAAGAAAGTCTGAAAGATCATTAATATGCATCCATGGTAGTTTCTGTGGTGATAGTGAAGATACAGTGGTGCTAATTGTGTTTGTTTATGTTATAATTTAAGTTATAAATCCCATCCCTGCCTACTAGGCACCTGGAATGATGTACTATAAAGGTAAAAATTATAGGCTTTTGTAAAACTAAATACACAGCCTCTCACAAGAAGCAGAAGAGATATAAAAACAACAGAACAATATGATAACATTTGAGAAGGGTATTAAAACAAAGTTAAAACTTAATTTTTAGCAGGAGTTTAAATGGCCATTTTTATCTTTGACATTTAATTGTTAGCAATCATTATACCAATGGAAGTGATCACATATAAACCAATATATGTGATCACATATTATACCAATGGAAGTGATCACATATTATACCAATGGAAGTGATCACATATAAATCTACCTTGAAAAGGGTATGAGCTCATGTTGAAGTTATTACTCTCTAAACTAGACTAATTTACCTGCTTCTTTTCATTGGTGTGTTTTTTTCCCACCTAACTTAAAGTAATTAGCATTACAAGACCATTCCTGGTTTGCAGCTGATCTCTCTGAAAGAGCCTTTTTACTTGCAGGACTTGCTGCTAGGAATTAGAGGTCTTTCAGTGTTTACAGTATTTTATGCAAAACCTTTGGGAAGTGAGGAGGATTAAAAGTATTTGTGAGCTAAGAAATGAGATTGAGACATTGGAAGTTGGAAGATGGATGGGCTTCCCCTTTCCTCCTGCCACTGTTTACCTGACATGAGCTCCCAGTGTGGCACTGGGTGGAATATGGTGCTCATGTACAGTTCCCTTGGTACTTGTCAGGCTCTCTCCCTCACTTAACTACATTGGAGAAAAGGGGAGGAGGGTTGGTATGTAGCAAAGCAAAAACAGCCAGCATTTTTGTTATTTCCAAGAATGCTTCTGGAACCCAAATGGATCTCATAAACTCTGAGGAAAGGAGAAATGATAGATGATTGGTGCCATCAAGTTGGTGTCGACTCTCAGCAACCACAAAGAGAGAGCTTCTCCAGGATGATCTGTTCCCAGCCTGAGCCTTCAAGTCTTCCAGTGGTGTACCATTGCATCTCATTCATCTACCGTGCTGCTGGTCATCCTCTTCATTACTTTCCTTCCACCTTTCCCTGATTTATAGACTTCTCAAGGGAGCATAATGTGTCCAAAGTATGATAATAAAAATAGGGCCAGCCCTCTCATAGCCACTCATTGAGAACAATATGCCTACAGCCTACCATAAAACATAAGGACCTCTGATTTAACCACCTTTTAAGCAGCTATCTTTTGAATTTAGTTGGAATCTCGAGTGGGAGGAATACAATATTTGTATTATGTCCTTTTCCCCTTTCTATGGCTGATGGTACATTTAGTGGAATGATTTCACTCAGGCCTATGGCACTGGAAAGAGTGTTAACTGATCTCCCAGTGCTGCACTTCTAAACTAAATTCTCTGCTAATTGGACTGCTTTAACCAAAGAAACATGCCAGGTGTCCTAACCCTAGGTTTCCTCTGTTATGTCTTCTTTTGCTTTGAAGGATATAGATGCACACATTCTCATGGACTAAAAGTATCTATTTTTCCAGTTATAATATTGCCACTTGGGAGATGAAGCTGCACTGATGCTGGTTGTGTTGATCAAACTCCAGATTCCATCAGCTAGCATTGGCTGATTATGTGATATCAAGTCAGCATCGACTCTTAGTGAGCGCATAGATAGATTTTCTCCAGGATGGTCTGTCCCCTGCCTGGTCCTTCAGGTCTTCATTGGCTAGCCTTGCATAAGAAATCAGTGTTGAAATTCTGAGATGGATGGTACCCTGTTCTTTAAAATTCCTGCTATAAAGATACATTATGCAGTAATAATGCAATTTAAAATCCATGCTCTCTGCTTGCCTCAATCGTTACAGATCCGCCCCCCCTTGCTGAAAGGAATTACGCTTTTTCTCTGACATTTTGAGAGTGAGCTCTGAATTTTTTTCTCTCCGTTCTTGGGGCAATGGACTATGTAGCTCTCAAAATTTACTTCAGAATCCAGTAAAACGTAGCTCTCCTAATTATGGTTCCTTCCAGTAGTGTGGGCCCTCCTAATGGAGACATAGTTCTTTTCTTATTATCTTCTATGTCCCCATGAACTATATCCCCACCCCACCCCACCTTTTCACCAGAGGGAATATACAGTGCTAGTCTGTTGACCTGAA